CTGTGACGCCAGCGCGCTGCCCTCACGTCCGGGCCCCACCCAGGACGTCGAGCTCCCCGGCGCCCGTACACCGCGGCTTCCTATTGGTCGGGGGGCGGAGTCAAGGCGCAGCGCTTGCGCAGTGGATTTGGCTGGGAGAGGGCCTCCTGTTGATACAGGGAGGGGGGGAGGGGGAGGGAAAGCTTGGTCCGCCTGTGCGCTTGCGCAGTGTGGGCGGTAGTTGTCTGGGTGGCCAAGAAACTGGCGGAGGTTTCGAGTGCGCCTGCGCCTCTGGCACGTTCTACCATCTTGACCCTGTTGGGGTGCTGCTGGTAGGAACTCTAAGAGGGGGGCTCTTAGGATGAGGATCGGTTGGCGTTCTTTAGTGGGGAATTACGTGCCGGTCCTCCCAAATTCGACAGATCTCGGCTATGTCATAGCCACCCATTAACTCACCCTTCTCCTCACCCAGTCACAGATAACCAGCCTAAACCTTATAGATATCGTTTGGACTAGGATGTTTTAAAATGGATGTTTTAAATTTTAAAATCTAAAGTTGTTACTGAGATGAATTTTAAGGAAGGAAGTAGTTGCCGAGTGGGGGTGGGAACCCCAGGAAAATTCAGGCACCAGAGGATGCCGTTTGTCCTACAAACCTTTGCTTGAAGTAAAGCCTTTCAAGGGCTTAGGTGAATTTTTTTTTTTTTTCAAAGCAATTAACCTTTCCTTTTGTTTTTTTCGAGACAGGGTTTCTCTGTGTAGCTCTGGTTGTCCTGGAACTAGCAGTAAATTAAATTTTCTGCAGTGCTTGGGATGAAAAAGTTAGCTAGACAAGCATTCTACCTCTGAGCTACCGCCTGCCTCTCTGTTGGGTTATTGAGATACTCTTTTGTGGCAGGGGCGAATGGTGAGTAGCAATCCGAGATCTTAGATCCAAAGGTCCCGAGGAGCCAGGGAGATTAGATAAAAGACCAGACTTGAAAGGAGTTTATTTTGTGTGGCTGGGGACTGAACCCATGCTGCTGCACATGCTAGGCAATTGCTCTACAGAACTGCAGCTTTAGTCCTGATTTTTTTTTTTTTAAAGATACACTCATTTGGGGGTTGGAGAGGAGAGATGACTCAGTGGTTAAGAGCGGCACTACTGTTCTTTCAGAGAACCCAAGGTCTAGTCCCAGACCTGTCATGTTGGCTCACGGTGGTCTTCTGCACTGTACGCATGTGCTGTGCAGACATAAACGAAACACCCACATGCATAAAAATAAAGGTAAGAAATGAAAAATAATGTGCATGCCTGATGCCTTCAGAGACCAGAAGATTCCCTCAACTGGAATTACAGTTGTGAGCCACCATGTGGGTGCTAGGAATGGAACCTCGGTCCTCCCTAAGAGGGACAAGTGTTCATAACTGCTGTGCCACCTCTTTGGCACCCCTAAAGTTTGTTTGTTTTGACCCCTATTTACAAAATGATTGATTCTCGTTTTTTTTTTTTTTTTTTTCCCCCCCTAGACAGGGTTTCTCTGTGTAGCTTTGGAGCCTGTCCTGGCACTCGCTCTGCAGACACCCAGCTGGCCCCGAACTCACAGAGATCCACCTGCCTCTGCCTCCCGAGTGCTGGGACTAAAGGCATGTGCCACCAACGCCCCACCCATTCTCGTTATTTTGAGGCAGGATATCATGCAGCCTTGGCTGGCTCTTAACTCCTGATTTTGCCTCTATTTCCGACATGTTCAAGTACAGGATGTGCCATGGAGCAAGGGCTCTAAGCAAAGTTAAGATGAAATAATTTAGCTTGCCTGATGTCAGCAAAGGGAATGCTATAAGTAACGCGCATTTCAATACCACCCATCCCAAGTTTGAAGACCCGAGGCCCCAGCCTGCCAGCCTGCAAACCTGGTGGGGCTCTCCTGGAGAGATCTGCCCAGAGTTCAGTTCTCTGTGTTGTGTGAGACCAGAGTCTAATCCCATTCTTCCATGTACACAGTAATTGTCTCAGCACCATTCTTTTGAATGAAGTCCACCTGTCTCCTGTAGACGTCTCAGTCCTGTGCCTTCTCTAAATCGTCTCTGCATGTATGTGTGGGTTCCCCTCCCTTGGCCTGTTTATCCCTGAACCACACTTCCATTTCTTTAGGGTTCTCCTGGCTATTAGTGGGCCTCAGTTCATCCTGTGCTCATCACAGGCCCCCGCATTCCCCGCTACAGCAGTTCCAGGAAGCTCCCCTAGCTTTCTCTCCTGAGAAAGCTCATCTAAGGTGAGAGCTGGTGTTTGCATCTGCTCCTCCCTTACTTGGAATGTGGTCCTCCCTCCTCTGCATTTGACGTCTTCCAGGCACCCTTCCAGACTCAAACTCACCTGTGATGCCCTTGCTCTGAGAAGTGTTTGCCTGCATATCCTTAATTTTTTTTTCTCCGAGACAGGGTTTCTCTATGTAGCTTTGGAGCCTATCCTGGCACTCGTTCTGGAGACCAGGCTTGCCTTGAACTCATAGAGACCCGCCTGCCTCTGCCTCCCAAGTGCTGGGATTAAAGGCGTGTGCCACCAACGCCCGGCTATTTGTTTTTGTTTTTGTTTCTGGTTCATATCCTCAATTTTAGTGTTATTTTGGTGTTATGAGACAGAGTCCACGTAAACTAAACTGGTCTTGTGTAAACAGTCACTGTGTAAGACTGACCTTGAACTTCTCATTCCTCCTGCATCTACCTGGAAAGTGCTGGGATTATAGGCATGCATCATCATGGCATAATGGTATTTATCATGTTGCATTATGATTACCTGTGTTTTGGACTAGCTACATAATTTAGCTAGCCACATTATTAAAAACATGACGGATTAGGCTGGGTGGTGGTGGCTCACACCTTTAGTCCCAGCACTCGGGAGGCAGAGGTAGGAGGGATCTCTCTGAGTTTGAGGCCAGCCTGGTCTACAGAGTGAGTTCCAGGACAGGCTCCAAAGCTGCACAGTGAAACCCTGTCTTGGAAAGCCAACAAAACAAAACAAAAAAACCAAACACAAAGGCCTTGGTTCAAAATAGTTGCAAGGTTCAAGACAGGGACAGCAGGGCATAAATTAAGGGCCCTGCAAAAGTGAGGAGTATTGTATCATATACAGGCCACATGCCCTCAAATCTGGCCCTGCCTTTTCTCTTGTATCCCCTGCTAAGGCTGTAAGCTTAAAGAACAGCACAATTTTGTCTGTTTTACCCTGTATTTAAGGCAGTGAATGGACATGTCGGTATCCATTGTAGATGCTCAGTTATTGGTAATGGCCAACTCCTGGCTTCAGGCTGAACCGCTGCCACTCAAGAGTCTGGGAGCACAGGAGCAGGGAAAACACTTTCTGTGGGTCTGAGTCTAGATCTCAAAGGGAACTCATGGGCTTGGCCTGGTGCAGAGCAGGGCAAGTGGTTCTCCCCAAACTACTCTTCAGTTGTTCTTCTTTTCCTTTTCTTCTTCTTCTTCTTCTTCTTCTTCTTCTTTTCTTCCTTCTTCTTCTTCTTCTTCTTCTTCTTCTTCTTCTTCTTCTTCTTCTTCTTCTTCTTCTTCTTCTTCTTCTTTTCTTCCTTCTTCTTCTTCTTCTTCTTCTTCTTCTTCTTCTTCTTCTTCTTCTTCTTCTTCTTCTTCTTCTTCTTCTTTTCTTCCTTCTTCTTCTTCTTCTTCTTCTTCTTCTTCTTCTTCTTCTTCTTCTTCTTCTTCTTCTTCTTCTTCTTCTTTTCTTCTTTCTTCTTCTTCTTTCTTCTTCTTCTTTTGGTTTTTCGAGACAGGGTTTCTCTGTAGCTTTGGCTCTCCAGCTCTTGTAGGCCCTTGGCCAGCTGGAACCTGTGTGCGTGCCTGGTGTGCTAGTGTGTGGTGCCAGATCTGACTGACCTCTTTGCTTGTAAACAGTTATTGCCACACACACATACTTTGAAACAGGTGGGATTTAGGTGAGAGGGCAGGTGGCAGGGAGTTGGAGGCTGCCCTTGCTGAAAAGCACCAGTCTTCCCTTGGCCCCGTAGAGGTCTCATGGGTAATTAAAAGCAGGATAAAAGCCTGACATCCCCGGCTTCATGTTGCATCATAATACCATTGTCAAAGGTCAGCCACCAGAGTCCAGATTCCCAGAGCAGCCTCGAGAAGCTGCCATGCATTGCCCGACTCCTTAAGGCCTAAACTGCCTTTGTGACTAGCCTGTTCTCAGGATCAGTGCCCCCTTCAGTTGCCTCAGATCCTAGGAACAACAGGCCCGGCTGATGAACCCCTTACAACAAAGGGCAGAAGTGCTCCCCAAATAGCAGAGACCTTCTGAGCCCTAGTCAAGCCCCACATAGCCAGTCCAGAGATCATAGTCAGAGGTCATGATCAACTTGACCTCTACCAGACCAAAAGCAACTGACTGCTGCCAAGGAAACACAGGCTTTGCCTTTGTTTTCCTGATGATGGCCCTAAGACTAACTTCTGTTCTTCCTAGTGTGGGTAAACGGAGAAGAGAGCTGCAATTCATAGAGCTCTGACTGCCTCTGCCTTGAGAGTGCTGGGGTTAAAGGAGTGCACCATCATATTTGTCTTGTTTTGAGACAAATTCCTAGGTCTCCTAGGCTAACTTTGAACACCCTAAGCATTTGAGGACTTCATCTCTAAAGTGTTGAGTTTATAGGCATGTGCCAACCTTGCTTGGCTTGAGAAGCAACATTGCTATTTTTATTTCACTTTTTTTTGTTGTTATTGTTTATTTCTAGACAGGGTTTCTTTGTGTAATAGCTCTGGCTGTCCTAGAGCTCACTTTGTAGACCAGGCTGGCCTCGAACACACTGAAATCCTCACCTGCCTCTGCCTCTCCAGTGCTGGGACTAAAGGCGTGTGCCACCACTGCCCGGCAATCCTTTTCCCTCTGCCTCCTGAGTGTTAGAATTATAGGCATGGACTGCTGGGCCTGGCTTTTTTTTTTTTTTTTTTTTCTTGTGTCTTGGTTATACATCCCAGGCTTGTTTCTTTTATGGTCTTTCTGCCTCAGTCTCCCAAGCACTTTTTTTTTTTTTTTTTTTTTTTTTGTGACCCAGTTCTCTTCTCTGGACTCTTGTTTTTATTCCCTATAGAAGGACTGGGTGGTATGTTTCCAGGTCTCAAGTTCAAAGCTCTCTGGGGTCAGGTCAGCATCATTTCCATGAAATGTCTTCTAGAGTCCACCTTCCAGGCTCGGAGCTTGTCCATGCTCTAGGAACGTGTGGCATTAATACTGATTTGGACTGACTTCTCTCAAAGCCACCTCAGTGCTGGCTTCATAACTGCTGAACAGCTGAAGGTAGAGCAGGAGTCCAGCTCTATAGTAAGGAGTCAGCATCAACTTGGCCACCTCCTGCCTGCCTGCTACCTGCCAGCCTTCATTTTCTCTGTTCCATGTGACCAGTAACATTCTTTTTTTTGTTTGTTTTTGTTTTTGTTTTTGGAGACAGGGTTTCTCTGTGTAGCTTTGAAGCCTATCCTCCCTCTGGAGACCAGGCTGGCCTCGAACTCACAGAGATCCTCCTACCTCTGCCTCCCGAGTGCTGGGAATAAAGGCGTGCGCCATGCACACGGGGATGGAGCTGAGGTGGGCTCCTCTTCATGGCTATCCTTTTGGGAAGATACTTGGGCATCTGTGGCCTTGATAAAATTCTCCAGGGTCTCAAATGTGTCTCCAGAGCAGCAGTCTCCTGCCATGAAGGTGTGTCATTCTCTGGGGGGGGAAGACAGGTATTTCCATGGTAACCAGAGAAGACCATGATGTGGTTCAAGGGACCTCCCTGTTCTCTGCGGCTACTGCAGAAAACACTGTGACTGAGAGAATCCTGCAGCCAGAGCTCCATTATACCCAGGATCGGGTTTCTGAGCAATTAGTGAAGATTTCACTTGACTTAGAGAAAATCTAATGACTGAGATGTGTCTTACATCTCTTCTTTGGGACCTCCTGCCCACGAACATGACTGGAATAGTTCCTTCCATGCCCCACCCACTCGGGGGCCCCAGTGAATGAATGTTGCTATTCTTGCCACTTGGAAAAGGAGGGAGACCCAGCCCTGCCGCAGCCCTAACCCAGTCAGCAAGACCTGCAAACTACTTGGGACTCTTCCAACTGATGCTGGTGCAGGACAGATATGTCAGGTGATGCTAGCGGGCTCTCCTGCTGGAGCCCGGTGGTGAAACATCAGGTGTATTCCAGTGCTAGAGAGCGCTTGTATGCATCGTGACCCCCTCCCTCCCTCCCTTCCCCCTCCTTCCCCCTCCCTCCCCCACCATGCAGGCCAGCTA